GTTTATACTGGCAGAAGCAGGCAAAATTCTGGAGGTGAATTCAAGGCCGAGAGCTAACGAAATAATGCTACATCTTCTTGAGACAGACACCCCAGTGGTATCCCACACCCCCATTGGTGGTTGCCTGTAATACATGTCAAGTGAGTAGCAATTAGTGGTAGGTCTAGATTCAAAACATGGTGCTTCACTTCCCTGAGACAAGAAGGCTGGCAGTCCTCAGTGACTGGGGAAAAAAAGGTTGTTTTACCCTCTCTATGGGGAACAAGTGCATGGTCTGAAAAAGAGCTTATGCAACCTTTTAACCATAAACTCCTGATCTTGCCACCTGGAAATCCCCCTTCCCTTTGTCATGGGATTACAAATATTGCTTCATTTCAGTGCTGGGCCACAGATTTCAAAAAAAATCCTCAGCGGTTGGAGACCTGTGTCCCTCCAGGTACTTCAAAAGGGCTGCTTAGAAACAGGCTGTTTGCTAGTACTTTGGCCACTGAAACACCAGTTGTGGTGGTTTTTTAAGAGAACTTGGTATAGCAATAGAAGCACATTTTGTCTGTAAATGTGAGGTATGCTAGAGGCCACAAAACCAGTGAGAATTCAGCACATGCAGTGAACAAGTCTCTGCAAATACATTAGATCCCATCCCAGGACGTTATAGGAGGCAGTAGCCACAATATCGCTGGGGCTCCTGCCTATCCCGTACAAACTGCTTGGTTCCCATAAATGCCATCAAGAGTCTGATTCATGAGTCTGCTCCTCTCCTGGATTCTCTGCTGATTCACAATCTTGTAACGACCAGAGTGCAGCAAACCTTTGTTCTCCCTGATGGTCATTCAGTTTCAACCAAGAAAAAAAAAAGGGAGGAACAATATGGCATTTTCTGAACTGTTCTCTCTCCTCATTCCTTCAGTTATAAAGATGGATTTGGACCAAAAAGTCTTTGGCCAGCATCTTGCTATCCAGATAATCCTGAGAGCTCTGAGCGCAAATATGCATTCCAAACGGCCCAGGAAGCCCCTGGTGATGTCCTTCCATGGCTGGACTGGAACAGGCAAGTCGTTTGTCAGCAATATCATTGCAGAGAACCTCTACCAGCTTAATATACCAAGACGGAGGTTTGTGCACCACTTCAGCACAGTACTGCATTTCCCACACCCTTCACACGTCCATCTCTATAAGGTACTTCCAGCTTTATCTCACTTTCTCCATTTTATCTGAAATTCTGAGTGCAAATCCCAGATAATTTTGCCTCTTCTCATAGGACCAGCTGCAGAGTTGGATTCGGGGCAATGTCAGTGCCTGTCCAAGGTCCCTTTTTATCTTCTCTGAAATGGATCAGATGCCACATGGCCTGATAGACTCCATCGTGCCATTCCTTGGCTACCATGAAGAGATTGATGGTGTTTATTATGGCAAAGCGATCTTCATCTTTCTGAAGTAAGAAAAGCCAAAGGCCAAATGGGAATTGCAGTCCCATAGAATCAGCTGGGACAAAGGGAATAAAGGCTGCTGATAGGTCTGTAGCTGACTGCAGCATGGTGAGTAGCTTGAGCTCCCTTGCTGTCTGTCTTCACAGCACATTGTCAATGAATATGCCCAGCCATGGTGTCAGCCAGAAGATCTGAGCTATTCAACACAGTCAAGAGAAGTGAGCTATCCCAGGGCTGAAAAGGCTCCCGTTCCTCAAGTGAATGGGAAATGGACAAGTATCTATGGTGGCTTCTGAAAGTACTAGAGATGCCACTTCCACAGTGGTCACAAAATACATTTTATCCAGCTCTGTAACACCACCGTTAAGCAGAAAGGTCTTTGTAGGATGACAGGACTCCCCTAGAGAGCTCTTTAGATGCAGAGAGAAGAAACCACCTACTGAAGACCACTTGCATACACAATCAAGGGAGCATGATTCCTCCAGGTATTATTCCTGGGAAATCCGTTTGCTGAGGCTCACTCCAGCTCTGTTTACCTCACATGACTGAAGCAAGCCTGAACCCCAAGCTTTGGGCTGGTGTACCTCTCAGCTTGCCTTTGCATTCAAACAGATGGCCAACAACCTATTTCAGCTTGAGGCAGCAATTACCACAGTAAGTAGCAGGTTGTTAGAGAGCCTCTCAGTAACACCTGTGTGGTGGTTTAAGCCCAGAGGGCAACTGAGCAGCTATTTGCTCACTCCTTTCCCCTCAGGGATGGGGAGAAGAAATAAAACAAAAGGCTTAGGGATCCAGATAAGAACAGGGAGGGATGACTCACCAATTATAGTCATGGGCAAAAGACAGACTCGATTAGGGAAGAAAAAACATCCGTTTGAACATCACCACCACTAATTTACCAATCAAACTGAGTAGGACAGTGAGAAATACAACCACATCTGAAAAAAAAACACCTTCCCCCCACCTCTCACTTCTTCCCAGGCTCAGTTTTGCTCCCAATTTCTCTGCCTCCTCCCCTCTACCAGCAGCACAGAGGGGCAGGGGATGGGGATTGCGGTCAGTTCATCACCCACTGTTTCTGCTGCTCCTTCCTCCTCAGGGAAGGACTCCTCACACTCTTCCCCTGCTCCAGCGTAGGCTCCGTCCCATGGGAGAGAGTCCTTCATGAACTGCTCAAACATGAGTCCTTCCCACGGGCTGCAGCTCTTCATGAACTGCTCCAATGTGGGTCCCTCCCATAGGCTGCAGTCCTGCCAGCAACAGACTTCCCCAGCACAGGCTGCCCTCAGGGTCCTGGTCTTCTTCAGGCACAGCCCCCTGCTCTGGCATGGGGTCCTCCAGGGGCTGCACGTGGGCATCTGATCCACCAGTGACCTCCATGGGTTGCAGGGGCACAGCCTGCCCTCTCCCAATGGGCTGCAGCAGAGTCTCTGCTCCAGTGCACCTTCCCCCCGCCCCCCTCCTTCTCCTTTCTTCTACTGAGGTGTTTGCAGAGGTATTCCACTCACAGCAGCTCCTCCTCTCAGGTTCTCCTTCTTAAATACATTATCACAGAGGTGCAGCCACCGTCACTAATTGGTTTGGCCTTGCCCAGAGGTGGGTCCAACTTGGAGCTGCGGGAGCTTCAAGAATCTTCTCACAGGAGCCACCTCTGTCGCCCTTCCCCTGCTACCAAACCCCTGCCACAGACGAACCCAACACAACCTGCCAGTATGACCAAAACCCCTGCTCTTCTGCAATGACAGATAGAGTTGTTCAAGCCACTGTGCCAGAAAAATGAAGTGTTCATACCATCAGACACTGCTGTCGTTTGGGAGATAGTGTGGTCCTTCTCATTTCCCACCTTTGGGCAACACCCACACCTAGGGACATGTCACCTCCACTCCAGTGCAGAATCACACAAAGTGACTTAAACCACTGCTGAGATCTGAGCAATAAAGATGGCAAAGATACAGCTCTAATGAGACAGTGAATCTCTTTCCTAACAGCAATGCAGGTGGAGATAAGATAACAGAGATTGCCCTTGATTACTGGAGAAGGTTGAAGAGAAGAGAAGACATTCCTGTGAAGGAGCTCCAGTCTCTGCTCTCAGAGGAAATTTTCAGGAACAGAAACAGTGAGTACCTCTGGGCTCAGTGCTCAGTGCCAGGACTGCTGATGTCTTCTGCAAAATGACCCACTAAATGCACAGCAACACACTGGCCTTGGCAGCACTCTGATGGTAAAGCTCCCTACTCTCTTCCAGGCGGTTTCTTTCACAGTCAACTGATCCGAAAGAACCTGATCGACTATTTCATCCCTTTTCTTCCTCTTGAATATAAACATGTGAGAGAGTGTGTCCGGGAGGAGCTGCGAATGCAAGGGCATCCTGCAGATGAAGACCTCATTGCAGAGATTGCCTTGGCAATGACCAACTACCCCAGTGAAGAAAGACTTTACTCCAGCAACGGCTGCAAGACTGTAGCTTCCAGAGTGACTCTGAGCATCTAGGCATTACCAGGCTGAATGCCTCCTCTTCTGGTTACAAGACCACAAAAGATGGAAGAACCAGTAACTCCCTTTCCCCTCCCTGCAGGTCAGTCTACATGCTCTTCCCTGAAGGGATTCAGGCTGTCCCAAACTAAAGGCACCTTCTGTAGAGCTCTTGACTAAACACACGGGATGTGGCAACAATGGTGGTAAAGAGTAAGCAGAAGAGGGACATACAAGGGTGACAAGGTTTGCTCTCCTTGACACAAAAAACCTCCTAATTGAGAGTATTTTGAAGGGGAAAATCTTCCTCTTCTGTGGCAAGAGTGTTTACAGCTTAACTCCTAGCATTGCCTTAATTAAGAAAATCTATAAATAAATAACATTCTCAGTAATAGTATCAGCCTGTTTCACATTGGCTGTCACCTGTGTATCGTACAGAAATCTCACTGGAGATCAGCACTGCTGTTTCCACTTCATGGGTGTGGAAACCCAAGCACAAAGGATGAGTTTTCCCCAGTGTCCAGCTGAACTGGTTGGCAGCAGCGTCCTGGTTCAGCAGCTCACCCACGGGCTGTCTGCGCTGGGGAACACCACACACCACTGCTGCTGATCATTAAATGAAAAGGATGCAGAAAAGCCCTCCCCGTCACCACACCACGTCCCCACGCTGTTTCTCCTCCGTGGTTTGCTCAGCCCGATGCACGCACCCATGCCCGGTGGCTGCTCCCAGCCGCGGTGCTGGCACGTCAACCCAAGCTGCCAGTGGGGAGAGAAGAAGAGGAGGCTTATGTTTGTGGAACAGGACGGGGAGCAGCATTTTTGCTGTTGTCTTGCAGGAAAATGTGGTGGAGTGGAGGGGAGGGACGGGACAGACGGCGGGGCCTCGTTACTCTGAGGGGTGACGGCAGGGCCAGGGCCTGGCTCCCTCTGAGGGGAGCGATGGCGCCCAGCTCGCTCTGAGGCGGTGGGGACGCCCCGGGCCTCGCCTGCGCCTCCCCGCCTCGCAGCCCGAGGCTGCTGATGCCGTCACATTCGCCCCTGACG